CGCCCCCCCGGCCCCTTCCTCCCCCTCCTCCTCCTCCTGGGCACCCCAGAACCCTCCTGCTCCTCCTGGGCACCCCGGCCGGCCTTCCTCCTCCTCCTTCTCCTGGGGATCCTGCCTGGCCTTCCTCCTCATCCTGGGCACCCCGATTGGCCTTCCTCCTCCTCCTCCTCCTCCTGGGGACCCCAGCCCCCCTTCCTCCCCCTCCTCATCCCCCTCCTCCTCCTGGGCACCCCAAAACCCTCCTCCTCCTCCTGGGCACGCCGGCCAGCCTTCCTCCTCCTCCTCCTCCTCCTGGGGACCCCAAAACCCCCTCCTGCTCCTCCTGGGGACTCTGGCTGGCCTTCCTCCTCCTCCTCCTGGGCACCCTGCCGCCCTTCCTCCTCCTTCTCATCCTGGGCACCCCAATTGGCCTTCCTCTTCCTCCTCCTCCTTCTGGGGGCCCCAAAACCCTCCTCCTCCTGGGGACCCCGGCTGGCCTTCCTCCTTCTTATCCTCCTCCTCAGGACCCCAGAACCCTTCCTCCTCTTCCTCCTCATCCTGGGGACCCCAAATCCCTCCTCATCCTCCTCTTGGGGACCCCAAAAACCCCGACCTGCTCCTCCTCCTGCCCACTGTGACCCCAAAACCTTCCTCCTGGGGACCCTGACTGGCCTTCCTCATCATCATCTTCATCCTCGGGACCCCAAAACCCCATCCTGCTCCTCATCCTCCTCCTTGGGACTCTAAAACCCTTCCTCCTCTTCCTCCTCATCCTGGGGACCCTGGCCAGCCTTCCTCCTCGGGACCCCAAAACCCCCGTCCTGCTCCTCTTCCTTCCTGCTCACAGGGACCCCAAAACCCTCTTCCTCCTGGGGACCCATGATGGCCTTCCTCCTCCTCCTCAGGACCCCAAAAATCCCATCCTGCTCCTCTTCCTCCCCTCCTGCTCATGGGGACCCCAAAACCCTCCTCCTCCTCCTTTTGGGGACTCCACACCGGCTTTCCTCCTCCTCCTGCTTACAGGGACCCCAAACCCCTCCTCCTCCTCCTCCTGGGGACCCCCAGACCGACGTTCCTCCTCCTTCTCCTCCTCTTCCTCCCCTCCTGATCCCGGGGGACCCCAAAACCCTGCCCTCCTCTTCCTCCCACCCTGCTTGTGGGGACCCCAAAGTCCCCATCCTCCTCCTCCTCCTGTGCTCTCGGGGACCCCAAAACTCTCCTCCTCCTCCTCTTCATCCCCTCCTGCTTGCAGGGACCTCGAACCCCCATCCTGCCCTTCCTCACCCTCTGCTTCCTCCCTTCCTGCTCATGGGGACCCCAAAACCCCTCTTCTCCTCCTCCTCCTCCTCCTCTTCCTCCCAGGGCCCCCCAGACCGGCCTTCCTCCTCCTCCTCCTCCTCCTCCTCCTCCTCCTCTTCCTCTTTCTCCCCTTGTGCTCACAGGGACTCCAAGCCCCCAGCCTGCTCCTTTTCCTCCTCCTCTTCCTCCCGGGGCCCCCATGTCTGGCCTTCCTCCCCCCTCCCCCCGGGGCTGTGGTTGATGGGGGGGCAGGGTCTGTGGGGGCATCCGTGCCCCCCTTGCACACACGCGTGTGCGCGGCCCCGTGGCGCCCGTGCGTGCGTCCTCGTGTGTGTGTGTGCAGGGCCCAGGGGTGCGGAGCGCCTGGTGGGGGGGGGGGGGCGGGGGT